TGTTTGTAGGCCATCATTCTTTTGCGCATGCGGGTCAGTTCAGAACCATGATCTGCTCGCACTGTAAAACTGGTATTGGCCACATTTAAAACAACAGTGTGAACAGCTACACAAAAAAAAAATCGGAATTGAGCACTAAGGCTCGCAGTGTGAACGTAGCCGACGTCAAGGCCCTGTTTACACTGTCAGTTAAATGTGACCCAATTTTTTGCTCATGTGACACAGATCGTATCTGTTCTATGACAGTGTAAACAGGAATAAAACGCATGCATTCGGATATTTCGAGATCGGTTTCAGGCCTCATTCATATGTGGAAATAAATCGGATATAAATCAGATATGTGCCAATGCGACTATCATGAAAACAGGCAGATCGAATTTTCTGAGGCATTGCGTTCTGTTCGTCATTAAAACTGCAACAATTTGGTACTTCTCCGCGGTTTAATGACGTCATATGCAGTGTTGGGCAGTTACTAGTAATTTAGTTACTGTAATAATATTAATTTTTTTAGTAACTAGTAGTGTAACTAATTACTAATAAGATGTCAGTAATAATATTACAGTTACCATCCATAAAACAGCTTAGTTACTTTTGATGCCTCAACCCCGCTGATTTAAAATCCAACAATCAAATAATTCCTAGATTTATTTTCATAATTTTCACGACTCGCACATGCATGTGATGTCCCCATTGCAGCAGGCAAGCTTGGAATATGGAAAAGCTTACATTCAGCAGATAGAAATATTGCATTATATTGATTTTTTCAGGAAAAAAGGCGATCTGAACACTGTTGTGTAAGTTGTGGCTTTACTTTACTCTGGCATTACATCCCACCCACATCCCTCTGGTCAGCATGTGGTACATTATATTACTATAATTACAAATCTTTTTTGGGGAAAAAAAAGAGTTTCTTACAAACTTGTAAAACAGCTTAGTTACTTTTGATGCCTCAACCCCGCTGATTTAAAATCCAACAATCAAATAATTCCTAGATTTATTTTCATAATTTTCACGACTCGCACATGCATGTGATATCCCCAGTGCAGCAGGCAAGCTTGGAATATGGAAAAGCTTACATTCAGCAGATAGAAAATATTGCATTTTATTGATTTTGTCAGGAAAAAACACTGTTACACTGAACACTGTTGTGTAAGTTGTGGCTTTACTTTACTATGGCATTGCATCCCACCCACATCCCTCTGATCAGCATGTGGTACATTATATTACTATAATTAAAAATATTTTTTGAAAATTAAACAGTTTCTTACAAACTTGTGTGATTTGATAAAATACATAATGAAATATAATCGTATATGGGTAAGGGAGAAATTACAATTAGCTTCAAGCTAATTTAATAAATGGGCTATGCTGTTAGTAAGAATTTTATGTGGAAGATACACAGTTACAACTTCTGTGAGGCGTGAAGAAAAAATAATGTAACTAGTAGTGTAACTAATTACGGTTGCCAGAAAGTAATAAGTAAAGTAACAATATTACTTTTGAAAGGAGTAACTAGTAATGAGTAATATGAGTAACTAGCCCAACACTGTTCTGTGACCCGTACTGGCAAAATGAGTGTAAATTCGTATGGGATATTTTGAGTTGCAGGCAAAAAAAAAAAAAAAAACGTGAAATAATGCTCCAAGTAGTAATTAAACATCTAAAATTATCTTTATTTGTACATTTTCTGAGAGGATTACCTTTTCTCCGCTGGCTTCTCGCGCGAAGTGCGTGCACATAACGGCGCGCGATAGTATTTCAGTATTCACGCAAACATAATCTGTTCTGTCTTAAGTGAACGCTTGGGGAACTGCTGGGGGAAAACATCTGATGTGTACCATTATTAGATCCGTGCATTACAGTATAGGACGTCTGTATAATTAATGTTAATCTAACAATAAAAGAAAAGAGGGAATCACTCGCTGCACTTCATTGAACTGCTTTTGTAGTTTTAATAATCAATTTATTTGTAATGAACACACTTTAGTTATTTGTTTTTCGTACATGAATGCTTAGTTTAGATATAAAATTATAAAGGTAATGCATATTTGTTTCTTTCTAGGCTATTTGTTCTACTGTTTATTTTTTTTTTTGCATCTGTTCTTATTTATAATAGCAAAGATAAAATAAAAAAATAGCTGTATTGTGATTATTAATATAGTAAAAGCCAGGTGCAGTAGGAGATCTTGGAAAATGCTAACTTTAGCCTGATAGCAGACAAATACATTTAGACCACTTAACTTAATGATTGCTATCGGGATGTGAAGAGACTTCAACCAGCATAACAAAAAATGTTTCTGAAGACAATCACCTATTGCACCTTTAATAATAAGAAAAGACGGAGGACTTCACTCTATCGACTTCTAACAGGTGTAGCTCAGTAATTTTTTGTCCGATTCCAACAAATCATAAATCATTTTGAAGGTCTTTTAATGGAGAATGTCATTTTTTTTTTAAATTGCTCATTGTGACTCGTTTTGTCAGCACAGGTCACATTATTCTCAGGAGGAAGCACATGTGGAGGCGGCAAATGACAACAATGCATGCGCGATGTTTCAGATGGTATGGCAAGTGTAAACACGTGAATCGGATATGGGTCACAATTAAAAAAACGTGTAAATGGACAGCCAAAAAAATCGGATATAGGCAACAAATCAGAATTGGGCAGCAAGACCTGCAGTGTAAACGAGACCCAAGACACGGCGGCGGCGGTAACAATACTGCAGCGAGAATCTTACGCCTTCTTTCTTTGCGTGAACATTTGGGCGGTGTTATGCAAATCTTCCCACACAGTGACGTAGACATGTGG